CTGAAGGTTTTCCTAGCCACACACACACACACACACACACACACACACACGGATGCAGTATGCCTGGGAGATTAGAGTACCCACTTCCGTTGTACCTGCTGATGGGAAAAGTGCCAACTCTCGGGCTCCATGATGGGGTGGTGGTGGAGAAGGTATTTTAAAAGCCAAGCTCAGTGGGCAGGTAAAAACAGAAGTATACCTACCCAGAGCGCTGTCTTGTAACTGTTATTTTTGATGCATGGACGGGGCCAGGGCCGAGGGCGGAATTGAGTGCATCTGATGAAGTCCGGGTGGGAGGGTGTGGCTGGGGAGCCCAGGGCTCTGTGCTGCGGGGACCCAGCCTGATGGCGCCTCTCTCTGTTCCTCTCCTCCCGCAGTCGAACAAAGTGCCCGTGGTGCAGCACCCTCACCATGTCCACCCTCTCACGCCTCTTATCACATACAGCAACGAACACTTCACCCCGGGAAACCCGCCTCCACACTTACCAGCTGACGTAGACCCCAAAACAGGTAGGCCGTGTGCTCAAGAGGGCGTGCTGGTCCCGGGGCCCTCACAGGACCTGCTGGGAGGCATGAAGGGTGGGACTGGTGGGGGTGTGGGGGGGGGCTCCTTTCCCTCTCCTGGGTGTTGAAAAGGAAGATGGGGAGCCAGAGCCTGCGGGGGACTGTTCTCTCTTCGGGAAGTCTCTCCAGAGCTCCGGGTACCTGGGCAGGGGCCGCCTTAGGAACCTGGCTGCGAGTCACTCGGTGTTTTTCCAGAAGAGCTTACAACTCCTAGAGCCTCAGACAGACCTGGAGGCAGTAATGGTTCTGGAGGCATCTCATGGGCTCCTCCTGAGGTCCTTGGGAGCCCCAGTGCATGGCTCCCCGAAGCCCTGGTCCCCTGGTGCCTAAGGGACCCCAGTCACTTGATGACTTCGGTGCAGCCTCAAGAAACCACATTGCTGGGCTCCGCATTCTCCGTGCTTGTTGATTTGGCATCTTCCTCCCCTATAACATCCTGGGCATTAACAAGCCCATTTTACAGATGTGAAAACCGAGCCCCCAGGGTTTCTTCGTGGCCTCGTACAACAACCAATAGGATCTCAGAAAGACGTTTCCATCTTATCTTTGGCCTTGTTCCCCCCTTTCCGCCCCTGCTTTTGCCCAAAGGGGAGAGAGAGAGAAGCTACAAGATTTAAAACAAGCAGATTAGCCGGAGCTCCTGGTGGCGTGGTCTTGGGAGGAAGCTAAGGCCAGGGTGTATCTTGCTGGCTGGGGTTTCCCTTCCCACCTAGTCAGCTAGAGGGATGGGTTTTAAATGGCTGTTTGTGTCCCTCTGTCAGGGAATTGTCTGGTGTCGGGCAGAGGTAGATGGCCCGCTCAGCGGCCTTCGCTGCCCCTGAATGGAGCCACACATGAGCTGGTTTCACCAACTCTGTGCCCGCTTTGTGCCGGTGGGGCCGGGCCTGGCTGCGCAGCTAGAGGAGGCCGCCAGCCGCCCGGGAGTGAATGGCAGCATCAACGGCTCATTTAAATAATGGTAGTACAGGGAATAGCTTTTAAATGCTTATCGTAAAACATATGATTAACGTCTGCGGACTGTTTACTTTTCCTCTGCGAACATTCTTTCAAGTGTGCGAATGGCTTGGTGTAGGGTCCAAGCCCAGCTAATCTGTTTGGTTTTTGTAATAGAGAGAAAGCCACGTCTGCATGAAAACGTCACCCAGGGAGACTTAATTTACAGATTAAAAGCTTCCTGAATGAATTAAAAAAAGAATAAATAGTTTTCACCCACGAACACGCGGTTCTCATTCCCTTCAGGGTTGTGTGAGTTCTGTGGTGTTGTTCCTGGGCTCCGCCCTTCAGCGGCGAGCTCGGCTCCTCGGGGTCAGAGTCGCTCCCAGTGGCTTGCTTCCTAGGAATTGATGGCAGGATGCTCTCCCGTGGAATCCAGAAGCGCTCCCATGGCTTGCACCCGCAGGGGTCAGCCCGGGCAGGCCTCAGCCCCTGGGACTCAGCAGCACGCAGCCAGCAGGCGGGCCTAACTCACACCTGTGCCTGTCCTTTAGCCTAGGATCTGTCTCTACACTGAGTGCACCAGATCTCCCACGGCTCCCTGTCCGCCTCTACACTGAGTGTACCAGAGTTCCCTGTCTGCCTCTACACTGAGTGTACCAGATCTCCCTGTCCATCTCTACACTGAGTGCACCAGATCTCCCTGTCCGCCTCTACACTGAGTGCACCAGGTCTCCCTGTCCGCCTCTACACTGAGTGTACCAGATCTCCCTGTCCGCCTCTACACTGAGTGCACCAGATCTCCCTGTCCGCCTCTACACTGAGTGTACCAGGCCTCCCTGTCCATCTCTACACTGAGTGCACCAGGTCTCCCTGCCCGTCTCTACACTGCGTGTACCAGATCTCCCTGTCCACCTCTACACTGAGTGTACCAGGTCTCCCTGTCCATCTCTACACTGAGTGCACCAGGTCTCCCTGCCCGTCTCTACACTGCGTGTACCAGATCTCCCTGTCCACCTCTACACTGAGTGTACCAGGTCTCCCTGTCCGCCTCTACATTGAGTGTACCAGGTCTCCCTGTCCATCTCTACACTGAGTGTACCAGGCCTCCCACGGCTCCCTGTCCATCTCTACACTGAGTGCACCAGGTCTCCTTGTCTGTTCAGTTTAGGATTTCCCTTGGCTAAGATGCCAGGGCAGTTGGTTTCCCCCTATAGCTCATCTTCTAGGCTGTGGTGGGGACATTCTAGAGGAATTAACTTTTTTGAAAGAAGTCAAAAGCCATAGCTCACGAAGTATAGCAGAAACTAGAATCATGCAGGTAAGTCGTTTGAATTCAAGGGAGTGAAGGGACAAGTCATGAGGGCAAGAGGAATTAATATTACCTAGTTGATCACTCACTATGGGCCACTGCCTTTTAGATTTTTTAAAAAAAATTTAAATCACACCAGTCGGATGAGATAGAAATCCCGAAGATGGTATTTCTGAGTCTGTCTGCATTAACCTAGTGTATCGATCCATCTAGAATGAGCTAGAGCAACTTTTCAAACTGGGGGTAGAGGGATAATAAGAGGAAACTTACCAACAACTCCTATGCTTATAATCAGAAAAAGAACCTCGTGCTAAGATTACAGAAGATGTACCTCTCTTTGCCCTTTTCCTATTCCCATCTCTAGATTGTTCCTCTTTCCTTCTCTCCCTCCTTTGTACCTAAAATGCTGCTTCTTTTCCCAGGAATCCCACGGCCTCCGCACCCTCCAGATATATCTCCATATTACCCACTATCTCCCGGCACCGTAGGACAAATCCCCCATCCGCTAGGATGGTTAGTACCACAGTAAGGAGTTCCATTTTTTAATTTACTTTTTGTTTCTTGCATGGGCATGCTTCTTATTTCTTCTGTGCATGAATGTGTGTGTTTTAGAGGACAGGTTGGTGAGGAGGGCCAGTGAGGGGCGTGGGGAAGATGCTTGCTGAGATGCGCTGTGGGGGCAAGGGCAGGTCAGTAGCCATTCGGTAGATTGTGTAGGAAAAGGGGTTTTGATACTTAGCATTCTGAGCCCATGGTCCCAAAGGCTCTGGGTTCGTGTCTGTGACCAAAGGTGCCCTTCAGGTACTTAGGGAAACGTAGAAGGCGCTGAGGGCTTCTACCCAATGAAGTTGATCACAGCTCTTCTGCTGGTGGCAGTCCAGTTGGGAGCCTTGTCATCGGATTGAGGCAGCAGCAGAGGGACAACAGGCGGAACCCAGTTTGGGAATCCAGGGGTGGGAATGGGGGTGGGGCTATGCTCTCCCCCAACCAGCTCCATCCCGCCATGACTCTCAAGGTTGACACCAATAGTGGAAAGTTTTATCTCTTGAGAAGCTCCATGCTATTTAGCCAGCATCTCTCTAGATCATACATGTTAAATGCTGATTATAAGGGGTGGGGGCGGGGCAGCTCGTGTCTCTCAGCCTGTGGGGCCTGCCCCATGTCAGCCCCAGCTCCCGCAGTGCCCAGGTCATCAAACTGCCGTTGACAGTTTATCTTCCAATCACCCCATTTTACTTTCACAGTACCACCCATCAGCCTTCCTCAGACAGCTTTAAAAAGTGGGTTCTAAAATCCCAGAGTAGAAAGGCCTGGGGTGCATAAGCCTACTGTGTGTGCAAGCATGTAACGCATGTTTTGTGATTGCACGGTTCTGTGTATATTTCTCTGCATGCTTACGTGATGTGTCTGATCTCTACTGTTTAGAAAACACAGGGCAATTTATTGAATCTTAAGAATAAATCGTGATGAAACGCTCAAGGTTGGGTCTTGGGAACAGGGCCTTTCATAACCTTAAAGAAGATAGGATTTTGGAGTGGTTTCCCACTTCCCACCCCCATTCTACCCTTATTCCTCAAGTTGAACAGATTCTACAGGTTTTTTTTTAAAAAGCTTGTACTATGTAGTAGCTTCACTGAGGACCAACCCTGAGCATGGTTTCTGTTTATTGTTTTCTCCTTACTTTTGTTTGGGAAGGTAGACATGGACCACGAACGTGAGCTCCTACCCTATTTCTTCTTCAGTAGATTGTGGGCCATTCCTCCAATAGTTCTCAGTCATGCCTGGCCCCGTTCAGCTGATGGGAAGATATTTGAAGGCTAGGATAAAAAGGAATAGCCAACTCAGACAATCCTCTGTCAGAAAAAGTTGTGTGTCTTTCATGAGGATGCTATTTTGCATGTTGCTGTATTTTTTAATTATTGTAATGAGGTGTGATTGTCTATTGGTTACCCACAATTCTTCTTGGGGACTCTCCCCCCGGTAACTCTTGTCAACACTTGTTAATTTGACAAAAGGCTACAAATTAAGCTCTGTTAATTTAATGTTTTCTCACCGAGATCTAAATACCGAAAGAGGCCCAAAGCGCAACTGAAGTCCTTTGATTCACTGTACTTTATTTTGGTATAAATTTACATTCATTATTGTTTTCCTTTGGATGTGTAGCCCTCAATTAGTGTGATGGCTCCATTAAAGCAAGCGAGACTTCGCCTTTAATTATTACAACAAAACACCTAGTTTCAGCTTGGGGAGAGGGTCTCTATTGACATAAGCAGAGGTTATAAAATTTAATTAGCCATTCCTATCAGATTTATGGCATTCAAATTGTTCTGTGTTTCTTCCCTTTGATCCTTCCTGTACAATCCCCAAGATTTTTGTTCTGATCAAATGAGAATAAAGCTTACTGTGCAGAGAGAACTTCTCCTTTTTCTTCTCTTCCTTTCCCCCACCCCCATCCTTGGTGGCACTCTCTCACTCTGTACCCCCCTCTTTGTAGGCAAGGCCAGCCAGTGTACCCAATCACGACAGGAGGATTCCGCCACCCCTACCCCACAGCTCTGACTGTCAACGCTTCCATGTCCAGGTGAGTTCCCAGAGCGGCGGCCTTCAACCAAGGCCAGGGGTGACTTCTCAGAGAGTTGTCTAGGCTGCTCCCAGGCCACCCAGGGCCTGCTGCAGCTGGAGGCTCTGATGGCATAAGACCCATCTAGCATTTGGATTTCTTCCTAGAAAAGACTGAAACATTATCCTGAACTTCCTAAGTGGGTGATGGTGAAATCTTGAGGTGAAATTTTTGAGTCCGTCAATTGAACACTATTTTTAAAAAATATATTTGTATTGATTTCAGAGAGGAAGGGAGAGAGAGAGAGAGAAACATCAGTGAGGAGAGAGAATCATTGATTGGCTGCCTCCTGCATGTCCCCTACAGGGGATCGAGCCCACAACCCCAGCATGTGCCCTGACCGGGAATCGAACTCTGACCTCCTGGTTCACAGGTCGAAGCTCAACCACTGAGCCCCACTGGCCGGGTTGAACACTCTTTTTTTATAAGAGCTTAAGAAGGCAGGAGGAGGTAGTTGGAATGTGCAGAGCTTTTATGAAGTGCTGTTTCTCGGGTGCCCTGTACTAGGTAAGGAAGAAAAGGGTGAAGATAATTTTACTATTAAGGTGAGTCACACATGGAATTTTAAGTTTTCTAGTAGCCAAATTTAATAAACACTTAAAAAAAATAGGTGAAGTTATTTTTAATGGTATCTTTTCTTCAACCCAGTATAGTCAAATACTATCATTTGAACATGTTATCCCTGTAAAGCAAGCGTGAGTGAGACTTTACATTCTTTTTTGAACTTAGCTGTTGAAATCTGATGTGTATTTTCTACTCACAGCACACCTCAGTTTGAACTGGCCATATTTCAAGTCCTTCGTAGCCACATGTGGCTGGTGGCTGCCACATTGGCCTGTGCAGCTTTAGGTCTTTGAAAGTGAAACACCATGTGTATGTACACATTCATGTACCTGTAAGCATATAAGTACATATGCAGTGTGCGTACACGTACCCACATGTGTGTACCTAGATCTTCCTAGTCCGTCCTCCTCTCCCTTCCCTCTGATTAATTCTGGCTAATTTCTGTGACTGGGAGTTTATTTACAAACTGGTTGGCAGCAGTCTGTTTAAGCAGTCACTAATTGCTCCTAATGATAGTTTTATTTTCTGTTCATCTGATTTTCAGTCAAGTTAATTAAATCGGTGGAGGTTTAGACTTTCCTGATGGGCTGCAACAACTAATCCATTTTGATGATGGCGCATAATTCAATTAGCATACATTACACGGCCAAGATGCCGACCCCAGCCTCTTCCCCCAATCTCTGTAGCCAACACGGGAACCCACGGGCAGAGGGAGGACTGGACAGGCAGGCCAAGATGCTGCTTCTCCGACGTACAAGAACAGTGATTTGGGTGGGGGCGGGGGGGGGGCGGGAAGGGGAGTAGGAATCCCATGCATGAAGGAAAACCAACTGTAGCAGATCCTACATCTATAACGATGCCATAGCGTCAGGCCGTCCTCAAGACCTGTCTCCCACGTGCTGTAGATAAGTCACATCGGTGTCCAGAGCCATGCCAGCATGGGTGAGGCAGGAGAATCCTGGTGCGTTCTCTTCTCCAGCAAGAGGAGGAAGAGTGTTCATTCAATAATGTCATCACAGCCTCGCAGAGCCTGGGAACGAAGGGGGAGTCTCCCAGGGGACTTAGGATCCGCAGCTCAACCTCTCTCCGTCCAGCAGTTACACGACGCACCTGGTTGCCTCTCATATTTGTGTACTCGGTGCATTCCAGGGGTTAAAAGCGGGGAAGTAACCGTAGGATGGGGATCAGGGTTAAGCTTATTGATTGAATTATCATTAGGAGGTTAGTGGATGATTTATTGGTGGGCAGAGGCGGGTGGAGGGAAGGAAGGGAAGGGTGGGAGGAAAGGTTAGGGGCTCCGGGTGCAAGGGGGGCCGCGGCGATTCCCCAGGTAGGCCTTATGAAAGGTAGCTAGTTAAAAAGCGTATACAGCAAATTAAATACATTATTGTGGTAATGGGGCGACAGAAGTATAGGTCCATTATCCTTATGGCAGTTATAGGAAATGTAGGCAGCTTGCCCTGCTCCAGAACACCCTTTGATATTCATTCTATTCAGCAGCGGGGCCAGGACTCCTCAGAATTAAGTGATGGGTCATTATACTTTAAACACCATGGAGAAGCCTAGATTGGCAATTAAACAGCTCTTGCTGACACTCACTTGTGCCACCCTGTGACCCCCTTTAGATTGAGATGTTGGAGCTCCGGGCCCTCAGCCTGCTAAATTGGCGCAAGGCTCTTCTCCTGACGAGCGCGGGCTCTGCAATCCGCCGACTTCAAAGGGAGCGAGATCATGTATAAACCATAATGTGGGTGCACCGTGGCTCACAAAAAATAAGGCAGGAAGAGATGAAATGTTACAAGTGCAAGGGGGAAAATGAGAGAATAATGACAAACCTAATGCAACTCAAAGCCGGATTGTTGCACAGGAAAATGCATCCCACTGCTTGTGCATAAAATCAAGGCCGGCAGATGACACCCAGTTAACAGAAACGTGTCAACAGTGAAGTAAAGTGAGAGTGAGTACGAGAGAGGCCCCTGAGACAGCCAGAAACAAAAATTAGTTGTCCTTAACAAGTTAAGATTCTGGCTCGGAGCCACAAAAGCAGACGGGGGCATATAATGAGCTGCTTAGAATTTTTAGGGTGTTTATTGCATTTCATGAAACAGTTGTCTGTAGAAAGGAATTTCTTATGGAAGGTATGCATATAGCGCCCCACTCCACACACACACACACACACACACACACACACACTCACTCTGTCTTGTCTCTGCTATACATTTCTCAGGTGTATGAGCGTGTGTATATCTATGTGAACTTGGCAGTATTTGTTTCTCATGGCTGCCCTGGAAATTTTTCTTCTCCTGTGGTACTCAAACTGTGGTGTCTCCCTATGGTATTTGGTGCACACACATGTGTTTTTATCTTGCTCCCTCCTCTCTCTCTCTCTCTCTCTCACTCTCTCTCTCTCTCTCTCTCGCATCTGTACATATATTCTCATTCAGCAGGAAGGGAACCTATGTATTTGAGGAACGTCAAGCCTTTAACATTCACGGTGAAAGCTGCCACTCCCCACCCTTCACCCAAGGCTTCCAGGAACACATATTCTTCACTTAGGTTTACTCAGAGGTCTTCAGGCCTGGGGAAGGCATGTGTGCTGGTGGGCAGCCCAAGGGGTTCGCTTCCCATTTTTTTCCAGGAGAAGGAAATGAGGTTGGTTTTTCCCTTTTTCCCTTTTTCTCATGGTCAGTGGTATTCATTCTCTCTCATAGGGTGTTTCTTCCCTTTTCTTTCTTATTCTGTTTCTTAAATCATGGCGTTCACACCAAACTTTGACACATTAGTAAAGGCAGCGGGAGAGGGCCATGGCGGGTTGGAATTTCTGAGTGGAGTGCCCACTGTGACTCTGGGCCCCTGTATTTTCTCTGTTGATCTGTGCAGATTGTTAGTCCTTGAATTTTTCATCATTTTTCAACTTACCATGTGTTACATTATTTTGTTTAAGTGAAAACTATTTTCCACAATCTACCTGTGGAAAGAACCTTGTGAATAAACATAGGGTCCTTTTGAAAAGCTGTCACGGGAAACCCTCATTAGCACCTCCCACCAGAATTGGCTTCCTAAAGAGTTGGCTGTCATCCACTGCATGGCGCTATGCTTGGGATTTATTAAGAAAGCCACGGGGGCTTGATCCGGGTTCCTCTTCGCCTGAACAGCGCCCCCCTCTGCTCACTGCATAACCATGGCAACTGGGAGCCCAAACCTGCCATTTTGTTTTCTTGGGGGGTCCTACCCCCTCTGCCCCTTGCCCTACTTCCCTCTCCAGTAGGACGCAGCCGGTCCTCAGAGAACATCTTTTCCTTAAGTGCCATTGTTGCGTCACGTTGATGAGATGCCGTGGTAACCTCACCCTTGTTGATATCACTTAGCCTGTGCTAAAACCGGTTTGGTTATATGTTGTTTTGCTTAAAGTCTCAGAAACTATGGATGACTTTGAGGACTGACCATATGTTCCTTTAGGAGGGGTGGTTCTTGTGACCTAATAGAAATCATGGCGACTCCAGCATGCCAGGACATGCGACAGCTGTTTGTCCGATCCGCGTGTCAGCTTGCAGATGGGCCAAGAGTATTTTGAAATCAGCTCTTGGTCTGGCGGGTCTGCATGTTGGGGAATGCCATTTTAGGGCGTAAACAGTGTTTCAAAGGACTTTCCTAGAAATAAGCTGCATCAGAGGAGACGACACACACTTTATTGTCTTTATTTCCGCTTTTGGTAACCATTTAGAAGGTTAGTGCATAGGTGTGTATAGCATAGGTGATATATTAAGTCAAAGTAATTTAGGAATCCCAGAATTTTAGAGCAGGAAAGGGTATAAAGATCAGAACTCAAAGCTCTGTGTGTGT